AACCCAGAACCCTCTGGTCCTGGTTCCCCCGGGACTCCAACCCAGAACCCTCTGGTCCTGGTTCCCCCGGGACTCCAACCCAGAACCCTCTGGCTGGGAGGCGACAGTGCTAACCACCACACCACCGTGCCGCCCCTTACAGAATGGTTTTATATCGAAATTGTGATGTAATCATAAAACTTCCTTTTGGGATTTGATAAGGAGCCAACGGTTAGATTTAATGCTGAAAAAACAAGGATATGGGACCAGGATGGTGTTAACAGAAGAACATGTACCTTAATTCTTGCTATATTTAATCAAAGATCTTTCTGGAAATATTTTCAGCTTCAGAAGATTTTTTAACACTGAAACTTCGAACTTCTAAACGCCGTAGTTCCATTTTGTCTGCACAGCCAGAGTTTTAGTGCACAGTCAGGAGGGGAAATCACCACAATATTAAAGGAGACATGTTATACCCTATTTCAACAAGTTAAACTATTGTCATAGTGATGATAAATGTAATATTGTGTCTACTCTGTAAGTCGCTTTGGATAAAAGTGTCTGCCAAATGCATAAACATAAACACAAACATAGTTCCCTGGTGTCCTAATGTAATGTCTGTGACAAGCTTTGGTCCAAATCCCATAAGGATGAAGCCCAATAGCATCTGCGTGAACTCCTGCATGTGCTGGGCCAGGTTGCATCTGCAAAAGACCGGCTCAGTAAGGAGGGGAAACCAACACAGTATTAACTCATTGGCTGCCAAAGACGTCTATAGAGGTCTTTTATGTTTTTCAACGAGAGTGTCTGGGGGACGATCTGCTAAAGCTTGTCCGTAAATATGGGCTTCTAGACAGAGTATGTAGTAACAAATTGACCCTCTAGGGGGCAGTGCACTTTTGATGGGAGATGAGCATAGACTGTAGGCAAATAAGAAAAAGGGAACGGTTCTATGAGAGAACATGTCGCCGGTGAGACGCACGTCCAGGAAGAACGGAATAAGGTAGAAACACATTTTTTTTTCCTGATGAAAGAAGAGAGTCTACTCTTTCTTTTGGTGTGTTCGGTGTTTACATAGTCATAGCACAAACTATTCTGTGGCTCTAGAAAAATCTGTCAAAATGCTCAAAAAACTCTGGCAGTATGGGACTCTGTTCTGAAAATGGCTGCCAGTCAATGAGTTAAAGGAGACATATTCTACCCTATTTCAACAAGTTAAGCTAGTTCCCTGGTGTCCTAATGTAATGTCTGTGACAAGCTTTGGTCAGAATCCCATAAGGATGAAGCCCAATAGCAGTTCAGTCCCCCTGCCTAACCCTAACCCTAACCCTAACCCTAACCCTAACCCAAAACAGCCCCGTTCAGAGCGCTCGCTTTGGAGTGCCTGTCTCTTTAAATGCAAATGAGACACAGGCAGTCCGCCCACTTCTTCAGGGAGGTGTACCCACGCTGGCACGCTAACGCTACCATGCTAACGCTACCATGCTAACGTTACCACGCTAACGCTACCATGCTAACGCTAACGCTACCATGCTAACGCTACCATGCTAACATTACCACGCTAACGCTACCATGCTAACGCTCACGCTACCAGGACGTCTCCACAGATAGGGGAGTGAGCTGAGGGGGGGGCAACATGCAGGTGAAAGGCTGGAATATTATAATGAGCTAGATAATATATAATAATATTAATATAATAATAATAATAATATTATAATGAGCTAGAGCTAATGAGGTCAGAAACTACCCACTCCTGAAACCTCCTGATTTATCTCCTGGATTCAGACTGAGGCGGCCCACAAAAACATGACCCAGTCATTTTTTTTCACACTTTGCCTGCTGATAGGCCCTCCACAGTCCCAAATGTAAACAATCAGATGATTAAAAACTTGGTTTTGCATAATACATCCCCTTTAAGCATAAGTCTATTGTTTGAAATCACTAGAAGGTACATTCAGAGAGTGGCAAAAGACATCTGTTGTTGTAAGTCAAGTACAAGATCCAAAAAGGAGGAGAATCACCCAGGATGCATTTGGGAAAACAGCAGGTGTGAACACACAGGCTTAAGAGCTGCCCACTTAGGAAAAGATTGCCAAAAAACACACGCTGGCCCCAAATGTGAACAGGTTCTTTGACAGTGTCTAAGAGATGGAAGAAAAACAACCTTTAAACCACAGCACTTACCATTTCCTTACATCCAAAGATGCTAAAGTTACAGGCGATGGGAGCTTTTGGACAATCTGTGTCACAGTGAGATTCCAACTGAAAAGAAAAGAAAGAAAAGAACAAAACGAATCATCAATTTAGATTCATTCAGACTTGTTTATATGTATTGAGTCTTGGAAAAAAAGCGTTTAAATATGTCTGTTATTACTGTGTTCTGGTGGACAGGGAACCTGCTTCATGCAGAAAAACAACATGCTGAGTGGACAGTTTCCTTTTTGTTACTACTCAGCCCTACACTGATCAGCTTCAGAGCTCAATTTAAATTATGGATGAAAGCAAACCAGTCATGTGACCACTAAAATCTTAACATTTACTTGTGATACTTATATTGTTTATTATATGTTCTTTTTTATGCATTTGCCTGCCTAGGGACTACGGATGAAAACTAGCTCCGGCATATTTACATTTGTTTTTGACTGATGTTCATTAATGTGCTTTGTCCCTATTCAAATAAATAAAAAAATAAATAAATAAATAAGGGTAAATAGTTCTTTGTCCATAATTCCTAAACGTTCCACATATCTGAGTCCCTCAGTATGGCAGGTGTAGTGGACAGAATGGGTTTGGGCGTGCAATCGTTTTTTGGGTTTGAATTAATTATTTGGCCTTTTAACAAAATATGTAAAAAGAAAAAACAGAAATAGATTTTTAATATTAATAATTTATTACTATGCGATAAGTCCAGATTATTTTGTGTAGTCTTCTGCCCCCTGTTATTAGGTGTATCTGATTGTGTAAAATAGGATTTTGAGCAAAGTTTTTACCATTAAATTATGCAAAAGGTGTCAGACGCAAAACATTTCAGAAACTGTACATATCAAATATGATACATTTGGCATTATAGGGTTAAATTTGCTGTGAATGTTTACATCTGGATTAACGCTTGTGGATTATGGATGTCTATGAACTGATTCACTGACGTGTTTTAATGTTGGATACTTGAAGATTAAATAAAGCGAAAACACGAAGCCTTTCGACTGGGGTTTGGAACATCAACATTCCTCTAATTAGCTGCTCAGAGACTCAAAAGTTTGTTGATCAGTCGCCAATAGCAGGCTCACCTGGTCTCTGATGAGGTCCATCTCACAGTACTGGCACTTTACATTGGCGAACGGGCACTGCTGTTCATGGAGCTAAAGGGGAAACAGAAACCAGATTATAAGGAGGCTAATCCTCACTGACACACAGTTCTGCTACAGTGGGGGAAATAAGTGTTTGAGCCCTTGCTGATTTTGCAGGTTTTCCCACTTACAAAGAATGCAACGATCTATAACTTTAATCATATGTACATTCTAACAGTGAAAGACAGAATCCCAAAGAAAATTCCAGAAAATCACATCATATGAATTTATAAAAATTGATAACCATCTGATGAGGAAAAATGAGCATTCTTTGTAAGTGGGCAAACCTGCAAAATCAGCAAGGGCTCAAATACTTATTTCCCCCACTGTATTTACATAGTTTTACAGCATATTCACACACAGTCTAACAGCTTTATTTCTCAGTCTGATGTATAATAAATGTGTGCATTTAAACACTGTTTTTCTTTTGTTGCTTTTTATTTTTTAACCTGTTAGATCTTGACTATATTCGCTCCTCTCCACTACAGATCCTCGTTTTTAGAAGAAATCCCACAAGTGGTTGAAGCTTAAAGGCTTTTACTTTGAACCAAACTCGATCGGTAAGACAACAGCACCTCTCTCTCTTCGTAAGCGAAGAAGGTGACACAGTCTGGGCAGGACGTGGGTCTCCGGGGGCACTCCAGAGCCGTGTGCGTCTCCACGCCGCTCTTCCTCACGGGCTGCTGGCACTGGGGGCACGGCACGGTGGCAAACTGACAGTTAGCCAGGTGAATCTGAAGGGGAAACAGCATAAAGAGCATAAAGAGGGAAGGATGTTATTCTCATGACTGTGATTATTGGTTCAGATAACCCACACATGATTCACCGACTGAGGAAAGATGCTGTGGAGGATTCCTGACCCATTTTACTGAGCCAAAGCATGTGAAACTAGGACAGAAGTTTTCATTTTCATTTAATTTAATTTAATTTATTTTGAAACATGATATGATTTAAAAATGTTTACATTTAATGCTTCATAAACATGCATCATGTTTCTGGTGAAACTAGGACAGAAGTCCTTCTTTATTAGCCGGTTTAAAGAGCTTCGTTTTTTAATCCTCTAGTCAAATTGCTGAACAGTAATTGTCTTGAGCTGTTATAGAATGGTTTTATGTCTAAACTGCAATGTAATCATAAAACTTCCTATTGGGATTTGATAAGGAGCCAACGGTTGGATTGAATGCTGGAAAACAAGAATAAGTGACCACCACGGTGCTAACAGAGGAGCAAGTACCTTAATTCTTGCTATATTCAATCAAAGATCTTTCTGGAAATATTTTCAGCTTCAGATAATTTTGTAACACTGAAACTTCAAACCTCTAAACGTCGTAGCTCCATTTTGTCTGCACAGCCAGAGTTTGGACAGCGAACCGTTAGAGACAGAATCTCCCTTTTAGCGAAGTTATCGGGAAACAGTTGGTCCTCAGACAGCATTTCGTTATCCACAGGGCACCTCTGCCCCGTGTCGCTGTTTTGGAAAGGGAAGAACAGGGATTATTGAGCAGGAACATCAGAAATCTGTTACTTACTTAGTCTGTTACAATGCATTTCAAGCTTGTTTTAATGTTTCAGTTTTATCAAGAGACCAGCACGATAACATACCGAATGGATTTCTCTATACAACTCTTGCAGAAACGGTGACCGCAGCGGGTTTGAATGGCATTCCTTAAGGCCATGAGGCAGATCGGACACTCGTATTTACTCTCCAGCGGTGGATCAAACTCCACATCATAACCCTGAAGGGGGGCAGCAGCCTGCAGGCTACCGGTGGAGTTACTGATTGAGGGGGCAGAACCTTCCGATGGACTGAGAAGTCCTTTTTCCAACATTGGTGAAGTCCTTTTTCCAACATTGGTGAGCTCGCCACCAACAGCTTCCATGCTGTCCTCCTCCAGACTCCCCTTACTGTTTTCAAAGCTGGCCATCTGAAGAGGGAAACAACCAATGGCAGTTCAGGTGTCAAATGGTGATGCTTTCAGTACCTCTACACAGAAAAAAACATAAAAAACATAAACATAAACATAAATCAAGATGCAGGAATTGTACTAAAATGGTCCAGTTCCAAAGATGTACTTAATAGCTCTAGCTCTAGTGTGGTAAGGGGTAAACATTGTGCTATGGAAACCTGGAGAAACATGGAGGACATAAAAACTCCAGACAGAGGAGAGTTATGTGTCGTTGGATCTCAGTAATGCTTTGAGGCTTTATGCTTCTATTTTATTTTGGAATCATATAAACTACAACAAACTAATGAATTAAAATGTCAATGAATCTTCATAATGATCCAAAAGTAAGAGCAACAATAATAACAGTCAAAGACAACATTACAGAAGAGAAAATTGGATTTGCCAAACAGTAAATCATGTTATAACCCATCCATGCAGGCTGGAGACTCCTCCTTAATTACAGCTAATTGTGCATCAGCCTTAAAAGTGCTTATTTTAACAACTAATTTGAATCGATGGCACTTAACACTGAAATAGAAATAAAAAACTCGCGATTTATTGTTATATTACGGTATAAATAACCCGTAATCGGCAACTAAACTGTCAGAAATGTGTCATTTGATGACAGTCATGCCCTCAATGCGGAACTGCAACTTCGAACATAAATGCACAAAACTCACCAAAATTTAAAGAAATACTGACCAAAGCAAAGGTCACATAAACACGTCCTAACTACCTTGATAAACTTGAACGTTTTGAATATGTTTGTCAGTCAGTGTTCATATATTCTAGGAATTTACCCACCTTAAACTTCAAAAAACGTCTCGAACTTTTCGTTTCGGGTTTCCTGTTTTTTTTCCCATACGTCATCAACTACCGCGAGATTCTGTCCTCTCGCGGGACGCGAGCGCCCCCCTGCGGTCGGAGGCCGCAGTTTCCATAGAGAAGCGAGCGAAAGAAAAATGGCGGAGCTCAGGAAAATCTGTCCTGAGTCTGTGCCCTGTCGTGTCAATTACACACGGAAAACGTCGTTCCAGGGGAGGCTTTTCATCCTACTTTTTATTCTTAGAGTTGACTCCGGTGGAGCCACGACCCACTGGGTTGTCACAGAGGATGGAAAAATTCAACAGCAAGTATGCCAATTCGCTCATTGACCTGCTAACGCTGACGTTATTCGGCTAGCTTCTAAAGCTAATTATTTTTCTTAGCATTAATAACTGTCCCTTGATATCTAAAATATAATATCTCAAACCAACTAAACCTACCAGCTGGGACTAATTACATATCAAGAAAAAATCAGAGACAGTATTAAAATATAATATTTGTGTGGGCTTAATTCAATAAGGTGAGATAACGTTACTTTATCAGCAGGTTAAGTCACTTGTTTTCACAATGACGGGTAATGTTTGGTATCTGTATCTGTCATCATCTCAGAAACCGCTCGTCAAATTTAATGACAGCCTTGGTTGGTGTGAACCGCTGACAAATTGTTTTCCTCTGTTGAATAACCCGTGTTTTATTTATGTGTCAAGCTTTTGGTTTTTGACAGGATGAGTTAGCACTTCTGAGTACTGAAAAATAGTCTTTCATACATGACCTCATGTTTGGAAATGTATTTGGATATCTAAAGGATTCATTTGCAATTTAAATCTGTTTTGTTCCAGGTGGACTCCCCTTTAAATTTGAAACATCCTCATGATGTTGTGATATTCATGAGGCAAGAAACACGCGTAAACTACCTCAAAAAGCTGGAGGTGAGTACATTTAATTTCCCTCTCTAGCAATGCAGGTTAACTTTTTCATGTTTTTTAGTTTTTACAGTAAAAAGTGACAAGTTAGAATTGACTGTAGACAGCACTTTCACTTTTTAATTCCAGTCTGACTTGCTTACATTTACTCCTATTTTCTGAATTCACATGCTTACCCGGCTCCACTTATTTTTTTATTTATTTTCATTTGATTGGCGAGCAGAAGCAACTTGTAGCACAAAAGATACACATAGAAGAGAATGAAGACCGAGACACAGGTTTAGAGCAGCGCCACTACAAAGAGGATGCAGACTGTGTGATGGCTAAAGTTCCCCTGGGAGACCTGGATCTCTACGATGGCACTTTTATTGCATTGGAAAGCAAAGACATAAGGTAAACGCCCAGTAAATCCAACAAAGCATGCTCCTGTTATTTGAGAATGATATTAAAAGATATTGTCATATTAAAATCTTTTAAAATACATTTTTTTCTCCTCCTTTTAGCCCTGAAGACTATGTTGATTCCCGGTCTGCTTTGCCTCCAGATCTGGAAAAACCAGACTGTGCAAAAGTGTTTGAACTGCCTTATAGTATCCACGCTTTCCAGCATCTCAGGGTAAATAGAGAATAACTGCATTAACCAGGTCACTCTCTAACTGCTGGTATGTTATAATTATGTGTTATAATTCTTAAATTCAGGTATGGTTGAAAGGTGTGATCACAGTATGTGGGAGTATTTTCACCATTCCGAAAATGGTGAAAGTCAAATGTCCTAAACCTAACAGCTGCTGCTTAGATAGGCTTCAGACTTTTTTCTATGTTTAACCTTTGTAAACATTGCTGTAACACCTAACAATGTTGTTCCAAGTTTCGCTGGAAATCCCGTAGCTCATGCATACTCTTTCATATAACAAAAAGAATGAAATACATATCAGTTATTCCTCTGTTCATTTATAGAAAAGTGAGGTAACTCTCTTCTGTTTGTGGAAAGACTCAAACTCTATGTTTATTGTTCACTTATAAATTTGAATCAAGCACAAAGGCTCAAAACCACTTCACAGTTTTCAATTCACACACACACACACACACACACACACACACACACACACACACACACACACACACA